CAAAACATATCATCTTTGGATATAAAGAAAAAAGAAATGATGTACTAAACCTTATTATCATCGCAACAAAATACTATATATATGCAAAGAGATGTTTCAATTCGCATCCACAGATTGCTGGATAAAAAAAATTATCTACACACCTTGTATGAAATTGACAAACGTGCTGCTTTTTCGCACTGCAACTATGGTAAATTCTTCACCTTTTGGTCATCTTGCCATAACCTCTTCACATAAATTGCAACAACAAATGTATTCTTATAGCCTACGGATTATCTACCACCCATGTCCTTGTTTTATAATATTTACATGTACCACAAATGCATAAATTAGGTACCCATTATAAAGAAATAAAGTGATAAAAAAAATTTTTTAAAATATCATAATTATTCTTGACATGGTATATTTTCAACTTCTTTTGACATCTGTACAATGTCATAACAGCCTTCTTATCCCGTGCACCAAGAGTAGTTAGTGCTTTAGTCCAAATAAGTTTAGGTGTTAACACACTACCCAATATCTATATAAAGACACAATTTCAAGATACACACCATAAACTTTTGATTTAAAAAAAATATAATCACAATAGTGAACTGATCAACAAGTACAAAGCAAATTACCAGAAATTCAAAACAAAATCACTGATGGTGTGTTGAATCATGTATGCATGCACTGCTGTAAAGTATAATAAAGTAAAACAAAGAGTCCATAGCAGCATTTAACCAAACTAGTTAAGTGATATCTGACTGAAAAATTCCTCATATCAGATGATTTGTATCAGATGTATTCTAATAACACCAGGGTAATCCTGCTCAAAATAGTCAATGTACAGCAAATGTGTACTCTGATACTGGCTTAAAGCCATAAAAATTACAGTTCTCATGACAGGTTTCATTGGTAAAAATCACCGTTAATTCAACAGTTCACAAATAGTGGACTGTTCATCTGTCTAAAAAGTTCTTCTTCACATATATGTTATACCAATGTATTAACATACTGATCATACCATGTATTTTTATATATTCAGTTTAGTAATATAAAGTATCAAATTCATTGTTTTGAGCTGTATATGTGTGTGTATGTTTGTATATAGATCATTTGATTCACCATGTTTATTATAATCATAAACATTTCTGACTGATGTTGGTATATATGTTAACTGTTTCATGTTGTTTTGTAGAGGCTAAATATCAGAATGACAAACCCTGTCATTAACATTATCCATCCTAAACACTTTACCTTGTAATTTCACAAGGCGGTCGAAAAATATATGCGCTAAACCAACCCTGAAACGATAGAAGACACGGGACATAATCGGCGATATTTTCGTCATCAAATTTGCTAAAATAAAGATCCTAACTATATTCAATTAATTTGGTCGTTCAGAACCATGTTCTATGTGTACGATTTCGTGGTAATAGCGAGCTGACACGAAATATCAAAGCACATGTCGGTGATGAAAATACAGTGTGTGTCATTGTTTACATATCGCCCATGTAACGACGATTTTCGTGTCTCGAAACTGCTTAAATAACGTGTTCGTGCATTGAAAGTAACGATGGGTGTTGTTCTGGTGACGTATACTTTGCCATAGTATCGATGAAAATGCTATGAAAAAATTCTAACCACCCGTTCTCTGATTTACTATAGTAAATGTATGGCGCGTCTCCCTGCAGTGAAGGCCGCCATTCGGCAGTGGTTGCCTGGGTCAGTGTCGGAGCGTAGCGCAGGCGCAACGGACCCAGGGAACCAGGCTGTTTTTGACGAAGTCACAGCCATATATGTTTTCCATCTTAACTGTATAGTGACTACGACCTAGTCACTCGTGGGGACACCCTTTGGAGAATTCGGGTAGGAGTAAGTCTGTATCTCGTGATAGGCGACCAAAGTGAGCTGGTGGTCAATCTGGATCAACGTCATGTCATCGAACTCTGAAAGCGTGAGCCGATGTTCATAATATCACTCACGTGTTCGTTTACGAGACTGGGTTATTTGCATGGCTCTACTTATTGCAGCAATAAAACCAAATGGCATCATTTCAAAATTTGCAACCTTTTCTTGAACACCTGGTGCTATCAAAGCTTCATAGTGATTCCTAATAGAATGATCAGGATATAGGAAGAATCATACAATCATGGATTCTAGCTTTGGCTAGAAATGGCTTTGTTGCTTATATCACCGTTTTGGTTTGCTGGCCCCAACGTAACAAAGATAACCGAAAAAAACACCTCAGCTGTTCAGGAGATTGTGATTTTTCAGGTAGGCCACATGTGTCACCTTCAGAGAATCCTGGTCAGTGCCCGGTATGCGGATGTAGAAGCTCGGGACGTGAGGTAGTACAGTGGTTAATTTGTAATGGATCGTCCTGGAACTCCAGGGTTCCATTACCGGCATAACTCTAAATTTTGAAAACCTTTCGATCAGTCGCATTTAGACATTGCGGACTCATTTAATAGACATGTAGCTACTAACAATGATTAAGAACATCACAATTCTAATTTATAAATGGGGCGGTGGGGTAACCAAGTGGTTAAAGCGTCCGCTCGTCACGCCGAAGACCCGGGTTCGATTCCCCATATGGGTCCAATGTGTGTCCCCCACCGTGATGTTGCTGGAATATTGCTAAAAACGGTGTGAAACCCAACCACTCACTAATTTGTGAAATTTGTCAGCTTTGCGTGAAATATTCTGAAAAAAACCCCGGGGAAATGAAACACAAAACGTATTTGTACCATTTACTGCAAACTCATTCAGACACTTTGTGACTATTTGTATCGAGGAATTGATTCAACCATCAGCAAATCCTGCCATAACAAAGGGTGGTTATGCATAGTGAATAGAACAGCCACAGACGATCTCTTATATGTTTTGTCGCTGAAAATAACTGATGGTTTACCTTTTCACGTTTAACGTTTGTATTCATTATATTCCTAATGATTTGTAATGATAGTGTCTGGGTGATTGCGTATTCAGGATGTTTCTGTCGAAACCCACAAAACAAACATACTGCCTTAATCTTTTTATATCTCATTGTTACTGAAATAATCGGCTCCATTTACATCACAGTGCTTGTTCCTTCACAGTGTGAATTATACAGGATATGACAAGAATATAAATTAGTTGTGAGGAAATCAATAGTAAGGTGTGAAATAGTTGGCTGGTAGACAATATCACGGAACAAAAGTACTTTTAAAGCTCAACACACTGTCAAGATGCATCCTATGCAGTGGCCTTAACCTAATCTGGCAGTGTTTGGAGCTTCGAGATGTCATCGCCTCAGGCACAAACTGGTACTGTAGTGAAGTCAACATGACGGTTGCTAGGAAAATAGTATTTGTTTCGGGTACATATATACCAAAGGTCTGTGCCATATGTCAGAACAAAGACAGAACAAACATTTTTTCTTCATACAATGGCTTCGACTTTGTTTTTCTGTGACCGTTTCTAGTTTTCACTTTGTTTATGACAACTGTTGGCCGTGATAAATGTGTCATCGTAATGGGGATGTAAGATTCGCCTGAGCGTGTCCACCGACCGTGGATCTCATGTGATCATACATAGTTTCGTTATGTTAAACATTGTTTACATGTTTAGGTCTTGAGTGCACTTATATAACACTATTGCACTTGTGCGTCTGCGTGCGTGCGTGCGTGCATGCGTGCGTGCGTGATGGAGAAGGTGGTTGGGGCAAAAGGAATCTGTTTCAAAGGATCATTTGAACCAGAAAATTTTCGCCTTTTTTCACGGTCGTAACCGTCGCCGTCGCCGTCGCCGTCGCCGCCGCTGTCGTCTCTAATACAGTTGATAATCACAATCAGCCACATAGTCATTACTACCCGTGAAGATCCGAGTTAAAATTGATCTTCAGTAACCCATGCTTGTCTCCCGTGAAGATCCGAGTTAAAATTGATCTTCAGTATCCTATGCTTGTCGTAAGAGGCGACTAACGGAATTGGAAGGTCAGGCTTACTGACCTGGTTGACACATGTCATCGTATACCAACTGCGTAGATCGATGCTCGTGATGTCAATCACTGGATTGTCTGGTCCAGACTTGATTATTTACAGGCTGGCACTACATAGCTGGAATATTGCTGCGTGCAACAAACAGCATAGTCATTTCATGCATTAGGTCAGTGACAGACAGACTACTTCCCAACCAAACACGGTGATCGACAGTGATTGTCCACCTGTAAAATAACGTCACTGAATCATATTCCTTTTTATCATAAGGTTAATGTGGATATCATTCCGGACTTTGTATTTGAATCCTAATTTTAGTATGCACCATGAGTGTCTCCCTGGGGTCTTTTTCAAGATGGCGGCACATCCGGTCACCGTGGGCGCAGCCATCTTGGATCAGTCACTTCCGGTCAGGGGAAGATCACTTGGGTTCCGGTTCCGGTGTGTGCGCACGCATCGCGATGACGCCACGTCCGGTTCCGGTGGGTGCGCACGCATGACGATGACGTCATCTCCGGGGTCAAGATGGCGGACGCGTTTCAAGATGGCGTCCCATCCGGTGGGATCTCGCGGGATCTCGTGGCCTCTCGCGGGATCTCGCGAGCGTAGACGCATTTCAAGATGGCGGAACGGACGAGCGGCAGACGGGACGGAGAGGGAAGGGAAGGAGAGGAAAGGAGAGGGAAGGAGGGAGGGAGGGAGGGAGAGTGGTGAGGGGGACGATGGCGTGGCTAGAGTAGTGTGTGTGTGTGTGGTTAAAGCTTTTGTCAATCAGGTTTTCTTTCGAGCGAGGTGGGTGGCCCTGAAAAGGGCCGTTGGTATGTGAACAAGACAGGTTAACATTCACAGAGGAGATGGAGACCCCGAAAAATAAATTTTCCGGGCCACACATCATCGTTCTGCTGTTGCCCTCTCTTGATGATCCCTTCCCAACAGTAGAGGCATATGTAAAAGTCAGCTCCTGGGACGATATCAAAGCGATTCGAGGGATATGCTTTGAAACAGGTAGGACAGATAATCAGTCGCCATTTTGATGACCATTTTGGTAATGTTTTCGATGTGGCTGCCATTGTTGTTGGTGGTGGTGGGGCTTCCATGACTCTTTCGGTAGGTGGTGGTGGTGGTGGTGGGGCTGCTGCTGCTTCTGTTGCCGTTGTTGGTATCAGTACCGGTTTTGCAGGTGTTGTTGCTGCCTCTTCCATTTTGATATCAGTCTTCACTTGTAAGGTAGGGCTGCACCGCAAGCATTGTCGTCTACCACAGTTTTTCCGGTAAGGTGCGGGTCGTATGACTTCCACTTTTCTTGCGTTCATGTTGCATCAAGATAGCCCTCACTGAGGAGTTTATATACAGGCGACGAGCCAGCGATGACGTGTCATCGATGACGTGGTATCGATGACGTGTCGACGTGGCGCCGGTGACGTCACCGTGAGGTGGTGGCGCCGCCATGGTCTTTGATTGGCTTAGCCCTCCTATATATCATGAGAGGGGGTGGCCGAAGCAGTGTTACAATGGACAGGATGGAGAACTGGGACTTGGAATTAATGTCATTGGAGGCACCCTCGTCCTCGCCACCCTTACCGGCATGGCAGTGCCACCAATGCCATGGCTGCCTGCCCGTCTATGTCAACGGTAGCATCGAATATAACGGGACCTTTCAATGCGTGTACTGCGGTACTGTCTGGAAGGACACCTACATCCGTCGCCTCACTCATGGGAGCAAGTGCCCAGTGAAAACAAAGATGGCCATCCAGCCGTGTCAGTGCAGGTGCCAGCTCTGGTCCCTTGAGTGAGGTACACTCTAAAAAACGGCACTTTTCAGGGCCATTCATCTCTCTCAAAAGCAGGGTTCATTTCAATGCCAACAATAACAACACTAGGTTGACATTTTTCAAACGTTTTATTTTCCCCCGCAAACAAGAACACTTTGACAAAAGAGGCAGGATTAGGGGCGTCCCTGATCTTTTGTTTACAAATGGCATGAACTGTAACATCAGAACATCATAACTGTAACATCATAACATAAGAACGATAAGGTTGTGTCCTTTGGCAGGGTTGTGGATCATGGCCAGCGTTGTTGTCTGTCAGGCGTGTGGGTTGAAACCAACGTCTTACACGTTCTTCATTGATGAGGGTATCGTAGGGATCAAACTGTTCCATCACTTCGTCAAAAGACCATCCACGGGCACGATGAGCCAGTACATACAAACAGCACATCCAACAAGAGGCACTGAACCAGGGTTGAAGTGACTGACCATTCCACTGTTGTTCGAGCCATCCGGCAAAGGTCATGACATTCCGAAAGTCTGGATGCTGTTGGTAGGGATGGAGTCCATAACTGTCAAAGTAGTCCATGGCACCTGGTACTGGGCGATACACGCACACCCAGTGTTGTCCTGGGGTCCGTGTTGACAATGTAGGCTTTAGGATAATGTCCCTCCTGCTGTTCACACAGCACGGTGGTGGCAAAGTGATCTCGTGCAAAGGTACCTTGATAGAGGGGTTGCAGCAGGGGATCCTGTTGTACGTAGGCATTCAAGTGTCTGGTCGTCAAGCCACTGTCGTCCATCCTTAGACCATCAGAGCGTTGCGGAACCGATCAATTTCCAAAGCGCTTTCGTATTCCTCGTAGCAGACGAGCGTGACGGGACGTGGTAGGGGTTCTGCAAACTGAAGTTCAAGTCCCAACTTGCCCGTCTGTCGTGGGTAGTTATACCCTTCATCTGCGCCCAGATCCGCCGTCAGATCCACCACCCACACAGTGAATCCGTTCCTGAATTCGTCCAGGGTGAGGTTGCAGGGATGTTCTTGCCACAGCTGTCCCGTGTTGCGGAAAAGGTTCATGTACAACTGTTTGAGCGAGGCACTGTTGTTCTGAAAGTCGCTTTTGATTTCGGTGCCATGCACTTCTTACCAATTGAGTTTCAGCTTGAGGCTGGTCACGTTGTTGTGCTTGAAATGGTAGGGGTTCTTTTCCTTGCTGCCAGCAAAAGCATCATTGTCCACCAATCCCAACACCATTCGTTTGGGCAGTTGGCCTCCAATCAGTTGATCTTTGTGGAAATCGCCTCCTCCTCCTGAAATGTCGTGGGCTGTGACTTGGACTCGGGTCAAAGGATATTTGGCCGTCACTCCTGGTGACATGTGTTTCACATGTTGTTCCCGTATGGCAGGATCAATGTTGACTTGGCGCACGTAAAACTCGGCTTTGGTCTGTTCAAATCGGCACTCGGCATCTCCAGCACTCATCAAGTAGAAATCACTCGGGCTGCGAATCAGTTCTAGTTTCATGGGGACTCCATCCACCAGGTACCTGTCTTGGAGAAACAGGTCACAGTGGAGACGTCCTGTCAGTTCCACGTCTTGGGTGGGTAGAATAACCCTTCGTCGTGCGACAAGTCCTGCATTGGCATTCGGGGCAACAGCATTAAAGTGATCCATTTTTCCAGCTTCATCAGTGTACCATCCTGGACACTGGAGATGGGTCCCTTTGGCTGCCTTCCCATAACTCAGCAACGTTTCCAAATAGGCTCGGTAGGGATAGGTACCCATGGAAGGAGTAATTTCCAGCTGGTTGTGTCCCACTTGCACACGCACTTTACGAAAGAGGGAATGCATCATGTTGTTCACCGTGGACACGGCGAGTGCACCATCGCCATCATGAACTGCATCCGTACCATCTGTATTCTTGATTTTGAGGCAGATGCGGAGGTAACACTGGCTCAAATCGATGCAGGCATTCACAGGGTTAGCAATGTTAAATTGGAGGGGACCCGCGACCGAAGGGGGTGCCAGAGGGTTGTATCGAATCCACTGACCTTCTTGGACGGAAGTCACCACAGGGGGCACAGAAAAGAGGTCCAGTTGGGCCTTGGAACATTCACAGGCATCCCGACGCATCATCTTGCTTGACAGCTGATCTGGACAACAGGTCTGCACAACAGGTCTTGCCGGTACAGTGTCTGGTGTTGAACTGAACTCCTTTTCCATTGGGGTGGGTCATTATCTCTTTCTCTCAAAACAATGGTTTACGTTTCTTGGTGAATCCCACGGCCTGTTTCCGTTTTCGTTTGCGAGCGGGTGATCCTGGTGGTGCGTGCTGTCGCAAGGTGGCAAGTAAGGCTTGTTTCCCATGATGTTTCAAACTGTCCCCCACACTTCGGTGTCTTGAACTGATATCTTGCACTAATCCCGGCAACATCTTGATGCCTGTTTTGAGAGCTGATTTTCCCACCGTCTTGAGGATGGAGAGAGCTGAACGTCCCAAGTTTCCCAAGATGTTACCAAAACCTCTCCCTCATTGATGAATGCGTCCTCCCAAGTTAAGCTGCCTCCTCGCTGCTGTCCACCCAAACCACTGCCGCCGCGGTGCCTGATACACTGATGTCCTACCATGCTGATTCTCAGTACGTACCCAGACGACGGGGACGGAAATGAATTGTCACGATGGTCTTCCCAGTCTGGAATGGCACGAGACGTCCTACGTCATCCGTTAAATAGATTCGAATGGCATCCGTGGTTCTCTGACGCAATCCTATGTAGCGTAGGTGCTGAGGGGTTTTGCTCACGACGCTGTCTTCCATCATCTGGCACGACACAGGGACATACATTAGTAAGGGAGACATGGTATCCCCGACGATTTGATCTTCCACCGCATCCGAGTAGACGTACATGGTATCAGAACCAGCCAGATGGTGTGCTTCCTGTTCACCCACGACGAGAGGACGGTCAAACACACCCACCTGGACAGGGTGAGCAGAGACCTGGATTATTACTTGTGCTTCATCCACCATGGGGAGCTGTATGAATCCCAGCATACGTACTAAAGGAGCAGGCAGACCTGATGCTATCATGGTCAGGTTGGGTTGCGGTTCTGCAGGAGGAGCCCGTGAGGACTCTGCACATGTCTTTCGGGGTGGGAGCATAAAAGTTGGCATGCGTTTTGCCACGCATTTCAAATCGGAGGTCTTCTTTGCCACGCATTTCAAATCGGAGGTCTTCAGTTCACGGTGATGGTGAAACGTCCTCTGGCATCCTGTTGGTAAACATCAGCTGTATGCTTTTCCAACAGCCTTGCACAGGTGTGTTGAAGCAGGATGTTCAGTCTCTGGACCAGTTGCCTCTGGAATAATGACCTTTTCACTGACTGCTCTGATGATGCCTGGGTTCTCTTCTGTCACGGTCGCATCGAGTGCTGCTGAACTGTAAATCCGGGTCATGCGTTCCAAGTTCACATGAAGGACAAACCAGTTGAAGGGGAACGACACATTGTACCATGTCATGGGGAAATGAAGTTCACTGACGCTGACTTCCCACTCCTGGCGATTCACTTGAATTGGAAAGGGTAGTTTGACCTCGTAATGATTCACTCTGTTGTTGGGATGAGTATCCATGGAAGCATCGCTGGGTAAGGTCACGTAAAAGTCCCGCTTGGAAAACAAAGACACCAACATCTTTCTCTCTCAGGGAACCAGGCTGGATACAGAGAGGGTTGGAGTTGTAGTCGAGGAAGGAGGCAACGTGGATGATGACGATGACACCAACGTGGGTTGTGGGAGCAAGTACCCCAAGCAACTGGCCAGCAAGGCTGTCCACAACTGTTTCTCACCGTTGTCCAGTGCCAACTGAACCATGCTCATGATGACCACGCCATATATCAGAAACACTTGGGAGAAAAACACCACTTCACCGTCCAGTTGGGAAGGTACCCTTTGTCAAACGTGCCCTTGGTCTTGTTCAAACGGAAACGGGTCCCAAGGTAACAAGAGAGGGTGCTTCTTCTTTGTCTTGAGTTGGCGCTGCTTCTGCTTCTTCTTCTTCTTCTGTCGTTCCATGTGATCCAACACCCGAATTTCATCGTAGGGAGCGTTAGGACGTACATCCACGGGTTGTTGTCCAATCGTACGATGGGTGCGATGATTGTAGGAATGCAGCAGTTGGGGTAATGCCTTAAGGTAGTGGCGTGTTCCCTGTTGGGTGAAATAACGCCACATACGGTTTTTCAACGTCCTTTGAAAACGTTCCACCACAGAGGCTTTGGTTTCTGGGTTTTGACTAGTGTAGAAATGAATACCACGTTTCTTGAGGAAGGCTTGAGAAGGTGTAGTGACAAATTCAGTCCCTTTGTCTGTCTGTAACTGGGACGGTACACGTCCTTTGGCTTGTTTCAGGATCCATTGAAAGGCCTCTATCAAAGTGGTAC